GCTCATGGCTGGATAGCCACACTTGGAAATGTTTCATTCATGGCTGGATAGGCTTTTACTGCTCATGGCTGGATAGCCACACTTGGAAGTGTTTTTTGTTGCTCATGGCTGGATAGCCACACTTGGTAATGGCAATACTTTTGCATAGGCAGGATGCCACCAGCCTGGAAAGGCATTTTCCCAAGCTTGTTAGAGAGATCTTGCAAGAGGTGTGCCAGCCATGCCGACCATGAAGAAGCCAGCAGCTGACAAGGGCAAGGGCATGTACAACACAGTGAAAAGGCCAGCAGCCGCCGCCTTGCCTGTGGACAGGGAAAAGAAGGCAAAACATGGAGAAGAAGAGCCAGAGGAAAGTGAAGCAGAAAGCCAGGTTCAGCCACCTTCTTTGACAGAAGAAGCTTTGCGCAACCACCAGAGGTTTTTTGAAAGAGATGTCCAAGTTCAAAGACATGTCCCAGGATGGTTTTGAAAAGGCTCTTGAAAAGCTCCCAACATCAACCAGGGAACACCTGTGGAAAGCCTTTGAGGCATCCAGGAAAGAGACTGGTACTGAGAAGGAATACAAAGATGCTTGCTCAGGGGCTGGAGCCCTCAGGAAAAAGAAGGCTTTGTTGAGAGGGTGGGTGCTGGACAAAGGCACTATTGGTCAATGCTACAGGCAAAGCATCACCACAATCAGCATGAACTACAAAGAAGGGTTGGAAGAATCCTGGTTCACAAAGCAAGAAGCTTTGCAGAAGTGGGGGCCAGAGGAATTGAAAGAGCGCCTCAAGAAAGGCACCATAGAAGCTCGAAGGAACCCCTTGGACAAGACCTACTTTGAGTTCAAGTCTGTAGTTCACAAGAAGAGCAAGATGGCTGAGAGAAACAAGGTTGCTTCCTATGGGACCAACCAGCTCAAGGCCAGGCAAATGTCATGGCTGTTGCTCACATGTTCTGGCAATGGCTGCTTGCATGGCTGGATAGCCAACATTCCAATTGTTATGGCTGCTGTTTTCAATTGTTCTGGCAGTCTCTGCAATCACTGCATGCATGGCTGGATGACCAAAAGCAAATGTCATGGCTGCTTGCATGGACATGTGTCATGGACACAAATGTTCTGGCAGTTTCTAGAATGGCTGCTTCTATGGCTGGATAGCCAACATGCTGCCTAACAGGTCGAGCGCAAGAAGTTGGAGGCCATGGAAGCCCTCAAGCTTGAGAACCTGCAAGAAGCAGACTTTGAGTTAGGAGGTGGATCTGAAGACTGTTCTGATGATGATGATGATGATGATGATGAGAGCATGGACCCAGACCTCAACAAGACCCTGGGGATCAAGGATGCCAAAGACAAAAAACCAAAGAAAGAGAATGTTTGGGAAGTGGCCAGCAAGGTGGCTGAAGAAGACCAAGTGCCAGACTTAAAGGGCAAGTTCATCAAGTTCAAAGCTGAGCTGGGGAAAGATATGAACACAGTGGAACTGAAGGTCCATGACTTGAGGGAGAAGAAAGAAGCCAAAGGGCTGGTAAAGGAAGCTTTGGCTGCAGTGGGGAGGTGCAAACCAATCGTGGCCAACTTGGAAAAGAAGCTCAAGGGCAAGTTCACTCGCTCAGAGGCAAAGAGTGATTTAGAAAATGCTTTCAAAGCCTTGGGCATTTTGAAAACTGTGAAAGCACAGGTCTTCAAAGCCTTGAAGGATTAACAATGGCTGGATAGCACACCTGGGAAAAGAAATGTCGCCTTGTTTGGTCTTCATGTTGCAGGTGGCTGGATAGCCAAAAAAGCATCACTTGCCTAATGTGGCTGAATTATATTTATATATATATGTTGCAGAAAGTTGCACATTTTTGTAGCCAAGAAGTTGCTATTCCAATTCCAAGCTGGCTGGATA